GGAGGAGGAGGAAGAGGAGGACGAGGAGGGTGGAGGGAGGGAGGAGGAGAAGGAGGAGGAGGAGGAGGAGGAGGAGGGAGGGACCGAGGAAGCAAGGATGCAAGGGTACCCTTGAGAGGCTGCCCATCCTCACTGTGCGGGCTGACTGTACGACCCTCGGCGCGCGACCGCAGGAGGCGGCGGGAGGAGCTCCTGCGCGTGGCGTGCGAAGGCGCTCCCTGTCTGTGCACAGCGGAGGCCAGTCCACAAGAAACCTCCCACAAGAAGAACCCAACCCTGAGACCCCACGACGCCCACTGATGTTTGGCGTGGGAACGGCACGCTTTCCGCAGCGAAACCACCGAAAGCCGAGAAACCCAGGGCACCCTGGAGGCAGGCAGGGTGTCTTGTTTGGCGTGGGTCCCCACTGCACCAGCACGACTTCTCCTGCAACCTGCCCCCAGCCTGCGCTTGCCCGGCGCTCCCTCCCGCCTCCCCCTTGAGCCGACGCCGGGCCGACGGTGCGCCCCCGCTCTCGCCTTGCTCCTCCTCCTCCTCCTCCTCCTCCTCCCTCGCTCCCTCCCTCCCTCCCCCCTCCCTCCTTCCCTCCCTCCCTCCCTCCCTCCCTCATCCCTCCCTCCCTCCTCCTCTCCTCCTCATCTCTTCCCTCCTCCTCCTCCTCCTCCTCCTCCTCCTCCTCCTCCTCCTCCTCCTCGACCCTCGCTCAAGACGAAGGAAGAAATCGAGACAGCACCGGACCAAGAGAAATCGGAGATGTCTGAGAGCTGTCTAAAGGCCTTCTAAGGGGTCCGAGTAGATGGGGTCCGAGGATCGCGCCGCATCGCCGATGCATCGGCGACGCGAAGCAAATTGGGCTCCGCATCGAGCCGCACCGCCGATGCATCGGCGATGCGGCGCGATCCTCCGACCCCATCTACTCCGACCCTGTCTAAGAGGTCTCGACATTCTGGAACGCTCTGAGAACGTTCCGAAAGTCTCTGGGGCGGATCTGTCCTCGTCCCAGCCCCGTCTGGCCCTCGCTGCTCGCTGCCGCTGCTGCCTCCGAATCCCATGCCGCGGTCGCCCACGGCCGGACCTCCTGCGCTCCGCTGCTCCCAGCCGAGCGCGGCCGCCTCCACATCGCCCCGGCCTGCTTTGGACGAGGCGCGCGAGTGCGAGCACGCCTGGCAGGACACGTCTGACGAGCAGCGCTGCGAGCTTGGCGGGCTCCTCGCCGGATGGGGCCTCGCACTCCAGCTGCGCCGCGCGGCTAGCAGCACCTCCTGCCACGGCCGCGACCCGCGCACGCGCCGACAGCGGCGCCGCCAGACACGCACAAGTTATGCCTGCTCCCGCTGCGGCGCCGTGCGCACCAACCTGCGAGCAGATCCTCCTGCACCTCGCGGGTCGTCGCCGGACCGAGGCGCTCTACCGCAGGAAGGCGAGGGCCAACATCGAGCACAAGGAAGCCACGGCGGCCCCGCGCCGGCGCCGCCGATCCGACCCCCGATCACCGCCAGAAGGAGCGAGAGAGCAACCGGGCCCGCTGCCTCCTCCACCACGCACGCAACCGAGAGTGCCACAAGGAGCACAGGTGTGGATGGTGGATGCCATGAACATGGGCACCCTAGCAATCCTAATATCATTGCATTGAAGTGTTCGCTGAAAGTGGTGAAGCCATGTTTGTACATGCTTGAGGCATGCTCTGAACACTTCAAACACATCTCGAGATCCTTTGGCAACGTGCTTCCTCTCCATGGACCGCCGTCCGCAGGAGTACGGAGCCCGCAGGCGGACGACTGCCTCCAGGCGCCGGCCGGCCGCGGCCGAGTGACGAGACCCTCTCCTGGGGGGAACGGCGCCCGCTGGCGCCTGCGCACCTCCGCCTCCACCTCCCCGGGAGAGCCCGCCCCCCACCACCGACCCCACTCCAGCGCTCAAGTTTGCGACCATCAACGTCACGGCACTCAAGCGTGACTCGACTGCAGCCCCTGCTCCAAACCTTGGGACCAGACAGGCTCCCAGCTGGCCCTCCTGCAGGAGACGCGACCCGGTAGGAGTCGGCCCCGTTGGGCTTTCACACTTGCCAGGGTATGGGGTCGGAGCATCTCCTTCAGCCCGCCGCCCCCCGGCAACCACCCACAGGCAATGACGAACGGCGGCACCGCAATCCTAGGGCGCCACTCCCTCGGAAAGGCCACCCGCGACCAGGACCTGGGTCACCATGTTCTTGGCACTCGGACCTCCCACGTTATGTATTTCGATGTACGAACCCGTTCAGGCCGATTGCCTCTGGATGACTCGCGCTCGAGCCTGTCTGGAAGCAACAATCACCGACAACCACTCGCTTCTAGCCATCGGCGGCTTCCACTGGAAGCCCTCTTGCGACGCCATCTTCGGTGCCAGCTGGACGAGTGCGCCTACCCTCACCACGACCACAGCGGCGACGGCACCCACCAGAGCTATGGCCTTCGGAGCTCCAGACACGCCCACCCCAGCATACCATGACCGACCCCAACTGCCTGGAATCCCCACCACGGCCTCGTCTCCTGCACGGTCCGACAGCACCACGCTGCACCGCGACCCCGTCGACAGCTCACACACGCACCCACACACACACACACACACACACACACACACACACACACACACACACGCACGCACGCACGCACGCACGCACGCACGCACGCACGCACGCACGCACACACACACACACACACACACACACACACGACACCCACGCACACAACACACACACACACCACACACACACACACACACACACACACACACACACACACACACGCACGCACGCGCACGCACGCACGCACGCACGCACGCACGCACGCACGCACGCACGCACGCACGCACGCACGCACGCACGCACGCACGCACACCACACACACACACACACACACACACACACACACACACACACACACACACACACACGCACCCACACACGCACGCACGCACGCACGCACGCACGCACGCACGCACGCACGCACCCTGTGGGGCCACGAGCCGCTGTCTGGGCGGGGAAGACGCATGCGAGTGCAGCCACTGGGGCCTGCGGTGCAGCTCCCTGTGGGGCCACGAAGCGCTACAGTGGGCGGGGGAGACGCATGCGAGGGCAGCCACTGGGGCCTTCGGTGGAGCTCCCTAAGGGGAGGGGAGGGGGGAGGAAGGAGCGGGAGAGAGGGAGGGACGTGGGGCGCTGTCTCTTCGAAACGAGGGCCCAACACCACACGACGGTTGGGAAAAAGGAAGCCGAGGAGGACGAAGAAGAGGAATGCCGTCTCCTGGGGGGGGGGCATTCCAACGCTTCTCGGGGGCGCGCCCACCTTGATCATGCCGTTGGCAAAAGGGATCGAGTCGTAGCGGTGGCAATTGTTGCTCTTGTCCGAGCCGCCTCCAGCCGCTCCGCCCCGCTTTCCTGCGCCTTCCCAAGGTTGCCCCCCATCGCCTCCTCCCGTGCATCCTCCTTCCATCACGCTCCACACCCCTCCACGATCCAGCTCCTCATCCTGACCATCCCCATCATCCTCATCATTACCACTACGACCACCACCGCCAACACCCTCATCATCATCCTCCTCATCCGCCTCCTCCTCCTCCTCCCCCTCCTCCTCCTCCTCCGCCTCCTCCTCCTCATCATCAGCATCATCACCATCATCATCAGCATCATCATCAGCATCAGCATCAGCAGCAGCAGCACCATCAACAACATCATCAGAATCGTCATCGTCATCGTCATCGCCATCACCATCATCATCATCATCATCATCATCATCATCGTCAGCAGCAGCAGCAGCAGCCTCATCATCATCATCATCATCATCATCATCATTATCATCATCATCAGCATCATCATCAGCATAATCAGCATCGTCATCATCTTCAGCATCGTCCTCATCATCATCATCATCATCGTCATCATCATCAGCAGCATATGCATCAATTGCATCACCATCATCATCATCATCAGCATCATCAGAATCAGTGTCATTATCACCACCATCATCAGCAGCCGCATCAGCATCATCATTATATTCATCATCACCATCACCATAGTCAACACACTCATGATCATAATCATCAGATTCATCATCATCAGCATCATCATCAGCAGCACCATCATCAGCAGCATCATCGTCATCATCAGCATCATCATCACCACCACCACAACCACCATTAACATCATGATCCTCATCAAGAGTATCAGCACCATCATCATCGCCACCACCATCACAATCACCATTCCATCAGCATGAATCATCATCATCATCATCAGCATAATCATCAGCATCATCATTATCGACATCATGATTATCATCGTAATCATGAGCAGCATCATGATGTTCTTCATCATCATCATCGAAAGCAGCAACAGCGTCATCATCATCGTCATCATCATCCTCATCACCATCACCATCATCAACATAAACATCATCAGCATCAGCATCCGCATCATCGTCATCATCATCATCATAACCATCATCATCGCCAGCATCATGATCAGCATCATCACCATCCTCATCCTTACCCCCGTCCTCATCCTCCTCATCATTATCTCCATCCTCATCGCCATCATCACCATCACCACCATCAGCGTCAGCATCATCACCACCGCCATCATCATCATCATCATCATCAGCATCATTGTCATAATCATCATCAACATCATCGTCGTCAGCACCATCATCATCATCATCATCATCATCATCATCATCATCATCATCATCATCATCATCGTCATCATCGTCATCATCGTCCTCGTCGTCGTCGTCGACACCACCGCCGTCGTTGTCATCATCATCATTATCGTCGTAGTCGACGCCGCCGCCGCCACCGTCGTCGTCGTCGTCGTCGTCATCATCATCATCATCAGCAGCAGCAGCAGCAACATCATCAATTCGCTGGCCCAACGCGCCAAGGGCAAGCTAAAATCTCTCTAACGCGCGGGGCCGCCCCTGGGGGTCCCCAGACGAAGGAAAAAAACGCAAGTCCCGGCAAGGTCCCGGCAAAATTCCGGGCAGGTCCCAGGCAGGTCCTGGGCAGGTCCCGGCCAGGTCCCAGCAGGCTCCCACGAGCGCTCCAGGAGCGATTCAAGTGGCCTCCAAGAGAGCTCATCATGGTCCGAGACGGTCCAAGAGCGATCCAAGACGCCAAAGATTGCCTCCAAGACGCCCCAAGAGGCCTCCGAGAGACCTCCCAAGAGGGCCCACAGAGGCAGAACTTAGTGATATGCCCTCAGTATCTGACGGTTTGGGGAGTTCTCGCCTGTTCGGCTTACTGGCGCTCCAAGACGGCCCAAGAGGCTTCACGAAGCCTCCAACAGGGCGCCAAGACGGCCCAAGATAGCCCCAAGACAGCCCAAGAGGCGCCCAAGACAGCCCAAGAGAGCCCCAAAACGGCTAAGAGGGGCCTAAGAAGGGGACCAGGAACCGAAAAGTCCAGCCTTCAGAACCTCCAGGAGGCCCCAAGAGGCCCCCAAGAGGCCCCAAGAGGCCCCCAAGAGGCACTCTTGGGCCCCCAAGGGGCCCCAACACGGCCCCCAAAAAGCCTCGAACTGCCTACCAAAGGCCCCTGAGAGGCCAACCACGAGAGGCCAACCAACATCCGTGACGCCTCTGACCCGCCACCCACCGCCTCCGAAAAATGGCAGCCGCCCAACCGCACCGCATTGACAACAACACCGTGCCTGTGTGTTTGTGTGTGTCTGTATTCCTATGTGTTTGTGTGTCAAGGTGTCTGTGTGTCTGTGCGTCTGTGTGTGTCGATGTTGGGGCTGACAGCTTGCTAGATCGAGTCGGTCCGAGTCGACCGGCCCGCGCCCCGACACTCGTATCAACCAACATGCTGACGTGAGCGCGCGGACGCAAACCAGGCCAACATTCGACACGCATTGCTCCTGTGGGGTGGTGGAAACTGCACGAGGACATGCACGAAGACCTGGTTCCCTGCCTCCCTCACCGAAATGATTCGAGTGTTTCCGTTGGCACGCGCCTCGGGAAGAAGGAGACGACGACAAAGACGAGGCGGAGGACACGGGCGAGTGTTTGAAGCTGCGCCGCCGTATTTCGCGGACCGCACGTAGATCTGGCACAAGGCACCCTTGAACTTGGGATCCTTGGGCTGCGGGAGCAGGCCCAGGTCGTCCTCGGGGCCGGACGAGAGGACGACGACGACGACGGCGAACCAGAAGACGAGGGGAGAACGGCGAGGGGGTCGCGAGGAGGACGACGACGAACACGAGGGGGGAGGCATGAGCAGGAGGATGGAGACGAGGAGGTGTGGAGTAGAGGGGATGGAGGAGAGAGGGCGGGGGGGGGGAGGCCAGAAAGCAGGGTAGAGGAGGGAAAGGAGGAGGGAGGCGCGGAGCGGGGAAGGAGGCTCCAAGGAGGACGAGGAAGAAGAGGAGGGCTTGAAGGACACGATCCTCCTACTGCTCATCCCGGTCCTCCTCCTCCTCCTCCTCGTTCTCCTGCGCGTCCTCCTTTTCTCCTCCTCCTCCTCCACTTCATCCTTCTCCTCCTCCTCTTCCACCTCCTCCTTCAGGAGAAGAGAGCGGCCCGGCCGCTGGGCCCTCGCGCCCTGGCGAAGACGCCCGCCCTGCGGCGGCCCCACGCGGAAAGGGGTGAGGCACCACCCACGCACCGAGCGGCCCACGAGCAGAAATGAGCAGCGCGGCCCAACGGCCCACGTCGGGCCCCGACGGGTCCCGCCAACCCAAGACCCAGGAGCCAAAGGCCCCAAAGCCAGGCCCAAGGGAGGCACGGCCCCGGACATGGCCCCCAAAAGCCCCAACCCCAGACCAGACCAGGCGCCGCAGGCGTCTGGATAAGACCAGCCGCCACAACGGGACTTAGGCGCAGGAGCCACAGACGCAAGTGCAGGGACCGTAGATGCAGCTCATCCTCCAAGCTGCAAGACGTGCGCTGGTAAGACATGGCCTGTTTCGGGATCTGAGTGGCTGGTTTCACTGCCTCAAGCGTTTACCCAACCAGCCCCCAGCGTGCCACAACTGCGGGCGCATCACGCATGATGGCCGCTGGCGCAGCGCCAAGATGTGCAAAGCAGGCAAAGGATTTCAATACCGGCCTTGTTGCACCGAAGATGCGCTCCCGCACCAGAAGGATGCTTGGACTGCTGGGATCGATCGTCGATCCAAGGCGCATCCAGATGATCAGATGCTTTCCCCGTGCCCGACAGCAAGACCAATTAATCATTGCCACGCGTTGCCCCCAGCCTGTTCCGTCTGTACAGGCCTCTTCATCTGGTGCACCCGCATCTCTGGGGCTGGGTCTTGGGTTACTGTGGATCTATCCAGGTTCCCTGCTAGTATCGGGGGCGCGCAAACATGAACTAGCGATCCATGGAGTTGGCGCGCGGCCGCCAACTCCATGGATCGGGGGAAGTGCCCTCTCCAAAATGCAGCCGGTGCTGCCTCGCTCGGCGGCGGAAATCCGCGACTTCTCATGGAAACGGGTTGCCATGGGTCCACTTGTCTACGGAATCCCGCCACTAATCCACGCCCCCTTGATCCATGGTTGCGATCGCCTGAGAGTAGGCTCATGTCATGTTTGGGCGTTGCGCATCTGTTGCTCGACGTCGCTATGTGATGCTTGTGCCCGCAGCGTGCCAAAACCTGCGCATTTTCCAGTCAGGGGCTTGCAGCCTGCCCGCTCCCCCCTCGTGGTCTCCCCCCTTGGCCCCTTGTGCCGGTGATTCTGGCCACGTGCCACCAAGGCTCGTGACTTAGTCAGCCCAGAGTTGCCCGTGGCCCCTCTTCGCCCTGGCGTTGCTCCGATCTGGTGCACGTTCCCACCCCGTGTGGCTTGGCGTCGATTGTTCACTTCTGCATCGCAGGATGTTGTGACCAGCTGCTGCTCATTCGGTGACAGCATACGAGCTGGCCGCGGGTATCCACTCCGTTGCACTCAGACCCTCGTGTCTGGCTGCCGTGGATGTGCCTCCCCCTGCCCCCCCCGCCCACTCCCGTCTCCCTCTCCCCCTGCTCCCAGCTGGGCTGGCGCGCGCCCGCTCGGGCCTCCGAGCCTCCCACGCCTCCT